ATATTTAATTTTGCTATAAAGCATAAAATATCTACTTTTTAAAATAAAACTGTATGCTAATAAATTGGTCCTTAAATGGTTAAGCAAAATCCGAACTTGCTCCACCTTTATTGCTATTAGTTAATTTATAATTAATTTAAAAAAATTTAAGTATCGAAAATTAAACTTTGCTATAAAACATAAAATATCTACTTTTAAAATTAAACTGTATGCCACTTAATTGCTCCTTAAATGCTCCAACAGAATCCGAAATTGTTATACCTCTATTGCTATTAGTAAATTTATAATTAACTTAAAAAAATTTAAGTATCGATAATTAAATTTTACTATAAAACATAAAATATCAATTTTTTTAAATTAAACTATATGCCACTTAATCGCTCCGTTAATGCTCCAACAGAAAGCGGTATAGTTCTACCTTTATTGATATTAGTTCATTTATAATTAATTTAAAAAAAATTTAAGTATCGAAAATTAAATTTTGCTACAAAACATAAAATATGTAATTTTTAAAATAAAACTGTATGCTAATTAATTTGCTTCTGAAAGTCTCCAGCAAAGTCCAAAATAGTTCCAAATCTGTTGCAATAACTTAATTTATAATTAATCTATTGGTTAATTTAGTATTCATTTTTAAATAATTTAAGTATCAAAAATTAAATTTCGCTATACAACATAAAATATCAACTTTGTAAAATAGAACTGTATGCCACTTAATCGCTCCGTAAATGCACCAGTTAAATCCGAAATTGCTCCACCTATATTGCTATAACATAGTTTAGAATTAATTTAAAAAATTTAAGTATCGAAAATTAAATTTCGCTACCTATACAACATAAAATATCAACTTTTTAAAATAAAACTGTATGCCAATTAATTGCTCCTTAAATGCTCCAGCAAAATCCGAAATTGCTCCACCTCTATTGCTATTAGTTAATTTAGAATTAATTAAAAAAAATATTATCTATACTTCATTTTGCTATAAAACATAAAATATCTACTTTTTAAAATAAAACTGTATGCTAGTTAATTGCTCCTTAAATGCTTCAGCAAAATCCGAAATATTATATTATATGTATTATTTATTATTATGTATTATTTATTATTAATTATGTAAACATTTATATACCAAAATGAACTTAACAAAACATGACATTCTTATGACACTAAAGTTTATTCAAAATGACCTCCGTGATTTTGAATACAGGCCTTCAATCTGCGCGGCCAGTCGTCTATCGCAGCACGAACGAGGTCCATGTCAATATCGGCGGCTGCCTTAATCAAGGATGTCTTGAGTGACTCCAAATTGGGATGAGGCTTTGAGCACGCCTTTTCCTCCAAGTGTTGCCATATCTTGTAATCTAACGGATTCAAATCTAGACTGGAGGAGGGCCAGTCTTCGTGCCGGATGAAGTCGATTTCACGCGTCGCCAGCCAGTCTTGTGTGCTCTACGCTCTATGAGCTGGCGCCGAATCTTGTTGGAATACCCAGTGCCTGTTATTGAACATGGTATGAGAAACAGGTTCCACAAGGTTCGTCAGGACTGTATTTTGATACACAACTGCATTCGTTTTTACACCTTTCTCACAAAAATGTACCTTTGTTAAGCCCCAATAAGAAACTCCCAACCATACCATGAGCGAGGATGGAAAATGACCTCGTTGGAGAAGCGGAATACGGTTGCTCGCTTCTTCACTACTGTGTGCGTACACCTTATCATTTTGTTTGTTGTAGCTCTCTTCTACGGTAAAAATTTTTTCATCCGAAAAAAAAAATTCCCGATATTTTTTTCCCGCGTACCGCTTCAACAAAGCGCGGCATCTCTTCAGTCTCAGGTCCATTAGACGAGCATTTAAACGATGTCCTGTTTTTCTTCGATATGCCCGAAGCCCTAAGTCTTCATTTAACACCCTTTTCACCGTGGTTCTGCTTAACCCCATCTGAAGGGCCAACAGTTTCTGCTTACGTTTGGGATTTCTTTGAATTCGTGCCTTCACAGCTTTTATCATTGCTGGAATCCTAACAGACCGAGGGCGACCACTTTTGACCTGTCATCTACACTAGAGTCTTCATTGCATCGTTTGATGGTACTATTATACGGGACCGAGGATAGAGCTTTTTAAAAAACGATTTTATTTACACAACACGATATAATTGATTACAATTAACAATAAGATTTATTTAACTTAGGATTTAGAATAACTGGGACTTAGAATGATATAGTAAAGATTTAGTAAAGATATAGAAACGACTTAGTAACGATGTATGAACGAGACTGAGATTGGAACGAGACTGAATTGACTTGACTGACTTGTGATTCGACTGACTTTAGATTGTTTCTTGATTCCCGACTGACTTGTGGTCGTTTGTCGGGAGGTCGGTTATATAGGCTTTATTGTGCTGACGCAGCAGCGTGAAAGAGATGCGTTAACCGATCTCCTAACATTGATGGGGTATAACAGCCCCCCGCGGAAAACTGAAGATCGGGAAAATAACCGAGCTTCAGAATATTATAGTTTATGCGACTTCTCTTAACCGGGGTGCTGGTATTGGTGAATCCTCGTGTTGTGAAATGGAATGATTTTCATCATCGTTATGAGTCGGAATTGATACATTTGAATTATTCTTAGATCTAGATATTATAAACTTGTAACATTTAAAGGCTATGAATATAACAATGATTATTAATATAACAGAGGTTATTGTTATATGGTGTGTCCCGTATTTTACTACCAAGGGTTTATTAATTATATTATCGAGTTTTGAAAGGTTTTCTAAATTTAGTTTATTATTTGTGAAATCATCTAGATCTATGTTATGTAAAATAGGAGATGAATATTTCTTAATACTAGAGGATACATTAGGTTTACAACAGGGATCATTAATTATATTAAAGTCTAAACTAGGCGTAGGAATATTAATGTTCAAAGTGTCGTCAGACGACACGAGCCTTGTGCTCTTTGTATACACTGTGCACTGTGCGGGAATATTTAGGATACCCGTACCGAGTATAATTGTCTCTTTTAATCCTGAGATACCACAGTCGATGGTTATCTTATTTGGACGAGATTGCACAAAAATCCACCGATTGTTCACTAGTGGTTTCCAGATGTCCATTTCACTAAATAGTATTTTAGTTTCGCACTGAAAGGGTAGAGCACTGAGTGTCTTAGTGAGAAGTTCACTTTCACATGTAGGGTTACCACTTGTTAATGGTATGGTCGGGACTTTACACAGGTAGAACTCAGAGCGTATAGACTTACAATTATTTATATTATCTAAATTACAGTGGCTTAACTTATCATTAGATATTCCGATGTAGGGAGTTGAAGGTAGGATTAAACTAAACATGTTCAGGCTGGTTAGGTTATGAGGAATAGGTAGAGCTATGTTATGGTATAAGTTAAATTGTTCATTCATTGTAAGAGGGATTTGTAGGATAAAAACAATTTTATTATTTATAAAATAACACGAAACATCGGAAATACTTAAAATTAAATGAATATTATTTATGCTTGATGCTATGGGTATCCCTGCGTCTCTAGGTAGGTGCCTATCGTTATCAATGAGTTCTTTGTATAGTTGCGTCGGGGACAAAACACTCGGATGTAGGATGTTTTGGCTACTTAGAACAATGGAGTTGGTTATGTCCTCCAATTGGAATGATAAGGCTAGTAACGAAGCTTCGAGGCTACTAAATACTGAATGGACCTTTGATTCAATTAATAAGTCGTTGGTGATAATATTTGTATTATTTAATATTGTATTTAATGCGTTATTTAATATTTCCTCGTTGTATTTTATTTTGCTTATAGTTTTATTAAATGTATTAAATGAGGAAGTCGTTATTAAAATATTTTCTTTTATGAGCTGGGCAAGTTCTTTTTCGTCCTTTTGGACCGAGGTTATGGCGGAGTCGTATTTTAGGGCGTCTTCTTCGTCCATAGTGCCAAAGATGTGTTTGAATACAGTGCCTACTGCACTAAACCACGCGGAATGTTTATTACGTTTGAATATTAAATGGGAGATTGAGTCATATTCCCGTTTGATGTCATTCAAACGAGTTGTTAAAGGAGACAACGTGTTATCGCAATAAAGATTATTCGATTGTTGACATAGAAGCTTTACAGTTTTTAGAATTTCGTTAAGATTAGTTAAGTGTGGTTCAATATAAGAAATAACTATGTGGCTAACAACGTCTAATTTACCTCTAACTATTTTTAAATTTCCTATCTTATCAAAGTAGATGCCGGAGCTAGAAGGAAGCGGCTGAACCATTTCCGGTTGCGCCTGGGACGAGACACTGAAAGTGATACGAGTATAAATGAAATATGAATGTAAAGTTATTTAATAGAAATTAAAAGAGTAACATTTTATTTACTAAAATTAATACAGATTATAATATTCTTAAATAACTAATACTTAATTTAAATTAAAGTATTCCGGACATTTCAGCCGGTTTGAATTCATCGAAGTGATGAGTTACGTGACGTCTATTAATTAATAGTGTGGCCGTATGGTTGTTGTGGACGCGAATTATTTTAAAAGGTCCTTTCCAGACAGGTGAGAGTGCCTTTCCTTGTCTTAAATGGTTTTTGAGGTAAACGTAATCGCCAGATTTATATTGGGGAGGAGTTCTGGTGTGAGAGTCGTAATAAGCTTTGGAAGATTCTTTGGATTTTAAAATGTTTTCTACCGCCATTTCTCGTGTATATTTAAGTTTGTGTTGTAACATTTTAACATAGTCGGAATAGGTTGTTCCGGAGCTTCTTTCATATAAAGAATTTGGAATATAGGGTTTTTGTCCAAAGACTAGCTCATAAGAAGTGAATTTTGTAGTGGTATGTGGAGTGGTACTGTATGTAAGTATAGCGGTGTAGACGTAATTAGGCCAATTATTTTGATTTGTGTTGACGAATGATTTTAGATATTCTTTGAGAGTGGAATGGCTGCGTTCTAGTGCTCCTTGAGTTTGTGGATGATAGGGTGAAGACCATAATTACTTGATTTTTAGGAATTGGCATGTGGTTTTGAAGAGGTCGGAGGTGAAATTTGTCCCTTGGTCTGTTAGGATTGATTTGGGTATTCCAAATAAGGAGATGAAGTGGATGAGGCAATCGCTGGTTTCTTCGGCTGTTGTGCTACGTATGGGATATGCTACAGAGTACTTTGTTAGGTCGTCTTGTAAGGTGAGTATATAGCGGAGTTTAGCGGTTCCGGATTCGGGTAGAGGTCCTAAGATGTCTAGAGCTACGCGTTGAAAGGGAGCAGTGGATGTAGTAGTGATTTCCATGGGGGCTTTGTTTATTTTCCTGAGAGCTTTATTTTCTTGGCAGGCTTTGCATTTCTTGACATAGTCTTCTATGTCGCTTCTCATTCCTTTCCAATAATATTGGTCCTGAATCCTATTATACATCCGGGTTGAGCCTAGATGTCCTGCAATTGGGATATCGTGGTTATCCCGAAGCATTTTTGGTCTTTAACTTTGAGTAGGATATATTATTTGATTACGATAAATATGGATAGAGATTTTAGAGTTGTTGAATATGTAAGTAAGTATATTATAGATTTTGGAGTGAGAAAGTCTGTCGAAAGGGTTCCGGAAGTCAGATATTGCGATATCTGTTACGTCATTTGTTTGAAGGATTTTGTTTTTTATTCGTTGCAGTGTTTCATATATTGCAGGATAGGGTGTTTCGTCGAAGTAGTGGACTTTCGTGAATATGAAATATATTATTTTATCTAAGTATTGTAACTTTTGGAATGAAAATAATTCTTTTTCAGCTTTTATAATTTCCTCTTTGTTTTCTAAGTTTGATAGGATTTCGGAGATGTAGGGATTTGATTCGTCTAGGTCAATAGAGGTAGGAATTATAATTGTTTTGAAGGATGATTTTAACAGGTTTTCGTTGTGTTCTTTTAAGGTGGTGTTTGGAATAAATTCTTTATTTGAGATGGATTTTAGGAATTGGGAATAGTTATTGTTTTGCGTCTGGTTTAATTTTTCATTTTCTGGTTCAGGTGTGAAAACAGTTGGAGATAGTAAATTTGATTGATTCGACGGGATAGGAGACGTTTCAGGTATGGGCGAGTGACGGAAGGGAGTTGGAAGTTGGTTTGGCGGAATTGGTAGATTTTCAGGTGGAGGTGTAGGCAGATTAAGTGAATCAGTGTTAATATTGAGATCGTCACCGTAAGCACCTAGGTCTCGGAGACCGAAATCGTCAAAGTCAAAGATTTGATCGGTTGTAGAGGGTTGAGGATCTACTGAACTAGAAGGATTAGGGTTAGTGTTATTAGTTGGCTGTAGGATAGGACTATTATTTAGGGGAATTTCGAGATCTTCGAGGAGTTCAATTAAAGGTGTTTCATTGCTATCGGGATTTGGTATAGAAGGGAGCTGTCTTTCTAATTCTTCGGGTGTGATATGGTCAAATGAAGGAGAGGAATGATTTTCCACTTGGGACTCTGGATGTTGAATGGGATTAACAGGAAATCTGGAGAGAGCGTCAGCGTTGGTGTTAATTTTACCCTTTTTATGGACGATGATATAGTCGAATTCCTCAAGTTTGAGTCGCCAACGGATTAGTCTGGATCCTGGGTCTTTGCAACTGAACAGCCATTGTAGAGGCTTATGATCCGTGACGATGGTAAAAGTGCGTCCATAAGGATAAGGACGTAATGCTTTGGTTCCGAAAACGATAGCGAGACACTCTTTTTCAGTCACGCTATAATTGCACTCTGCTTTGTTTAAAGTGCGGGAAGCGAAGGCTATAGGACGGTCTTTTCCTATTTGTCCCTGGGATAGGATTGCTGAAATAGCGAAATTAGAAGCGTCGCAAATTAGTATAAAAGGTTTTGAGAAATCTGGATATGCCAGAACTGGTGAAGTGGTAAGTTTTTCCTTAAGTACTTCGAAGGCTAAATGCTGTTCATTTTTCCAGCAGAAAGGAGTATCCTTTTTAAGGAGTGAGGTAAGAGGTTTGGCTAATTTGGAGAAGTCGGGAATGAACCGTCTATAGTAAGAGACCAGTCCCAGGAAGGATTTTATGTCTTTAGCACATTTGGGAACAGGGAATTCGGAGATTGCTTTTAATTTCTCTGGGTTTGGTTTTACGCCATCGTTGTTGATGAGATGTCCCAGATAATTCTTTACATAGGAATTCACATTTGTCGGGTTGAAGCTTAAGATTATAGTTTCTTAATCTACTATTTTTATTTTATTTTATTTATTTATTATTGGACAACACAACAGATTACATCATGACTTAAAGCTATAACTTACAATAATAATAGTGTAATACAAGACATAATCCTTATACGTGTTATCACGGCATGCCAAGATTGAAAACAAACATTTTAAATAAAATTGCTTAAACTAACAGGCTTATAAATCCAACAAATTAAGAACTATAATTATAGTGAATATCAATCAAAGGGGATGTCCTTGAGAATGCCTTTCAAAACAGTTCTAAAGTGAACCAGACTAGAGTTGAAGATGTCAAGGTTGGTAAATCGAAGGCTATAATTCTCATAAAGTCGACATAACCTTGATAGGGGTTGATTCCGGGAGATATTATTTCGCGATAGGGGTATGTCAAATATTTTTTTCATAGGTCTACGTGGGTTGTGTTTTATGTTAAAATTTAACAGTTCCAAAACCTCGGGACTGTCCAGTTCCGAGTGTATTATTTTGTGTAGGTTAACTAGGTCCAATTCGTCGCGACGGAGGTGAAATGGTGTCATGTCAAACTCTTTAAGCCTCTCAGCATATGACCGGAGTCTTCTATTGTTGCCGGTACGTAAGCTCAATAAACGCAAAAACTTGGATTGGATCGATTCAATGCGCTCAGAGTGCACTGCGTAGTATGGGTTCCATATTATTGAACTATATTCTAAATTACTTCGAACCAGACTGTTCTATAACAAAATTAAACTTTGAGAGTTCCTGAAGTGCCTGCTCTGTCTGGTAACGAAACCTAGTACCTGGTTAGATTTTTTGGCTATGAGATCGTAATGTTGGCGGAAACTAAGCTGTTCGTCAAACAAGACCCCGAGATCCCTGATAGACGACACACGAGACAGAGTTTGTTGTTCTATGATATAATTGTTTGATACCTTGTTTTTTTTAAGTGTGTAGGTGATGACATAGCATTTTTTGACATTAAGGAACATTTTATTTTCTTTGCACCAATTAGACAGGCTGTTTAAGTCTTCCTGTATGATGCGTGTGTCGTCAGCTTCACCAATTCTATTGAATATTTTTAGGTCGTCAGCATATAATAGGCAAGGGGACTGAATTTTACCAATGAGGTCATTAATGAAAGTCACAAAAAGTAACGGGCCCAAATGGGATCCTTGAGGAACACCAGACTTGATGATAATTTCTTCTGATGTGTACCCCTTGACGGTTACGAGCTGACTCCTGTTTTTCAAGTAGGACTCGAGCCAACGCAACAGACTGCCGTGTATACCATACGACTCAAGTTTCTTACATAAAATTGCGTGATCCACTTTATCGAACGCTTTCTTAAAGTCGGTATATATAGCATCTACCTGACCACGGTTGTTAAAAGCATCGCATATGTAGGTTTTGAAGTTAAGAAGGTTACTGACTGTCGATCTCCTTTTGATGAATCCGTGCTGCTTAGTTGATATAAGAGGTTTTAAATGAAAATAGAGATGATCAAATACTACTGATTCAAATAATTTGGATACTGCTGACAAAATGCTTATGGGTCTATAATTTTCACCGTTGGCTCGGTCACCAGATTTAAATATAGGGACAATGTTAGCTTTTTTCCAGCGAGAAGGGAACACACCGCTGTTCAATGATTTATTAAATATTAGCTGAAGCGGGCGACACAGTTCATCTGCGCATACCCGCAGGAATATAGGTGGAATGCCGTCAGGGCCAGCTCCCTTGTTGGAGTCAAGACGCCTCAGTTTTGATAATATTTCGTTCTCAGTTAGTACGATTTTAGTGAGAAGACTATTTGTTTGACTACAACAATCGTATATCCCCGATCCGTGACTGTGATCTTCGAATACTGACCCAAAAAATTTTGAAAACATATCGCAGATTTCCCTACCACCAGTAGCCGTTGTTTCACTAAATGTCATTGAGTCGGGGAAACTCAAGTTATTGCGTCTCTTGCTGTTAACGTATCTCCAAAACGACTTAACGTCTTTTGTCAAACCATTTTCGATAGATCTGATGTATTCATTGTAACAACAATTTATGAGTTTTTTGCATCTAGCCCGGAGGAGAGAGAATGTATCGTAATCTCGTGGGTTTTTGTATTTTTTGTAGCGCACGTGGTATTTGTTTTTTTCCCGCATACAACGACGCAAGCCAGGACTGAACCATTTGGGATATTTATTTGAGCGGTTCTTAACTGTGGGAGTACAATCGTTAATAATTTCATAGATCACATAGTAAAATCTAGCCACAGCCTCATCTACGTCTGCCCCATAAAGTAGATCTGACCAGTTGGTATCATTAATTCTCTGCTTTACAGTTTCATATTGGCATTTATAGAAATTTAGACGCTTTGACTCATTGACCTTCAGAGGTTTATAATTAAAAGAATTTGAGTCTTGAAAATCAATAAGTAAGGCAGGGTGATGTTTATCTTCTTTTAATGAGGTCTTCTCGTTGGTGATGGTCATATTTCCGGAAGTGCAAAGAGCAAGATCTAGTATCTTATTGTTATTATTGGGGATGGAGTTAAACTGTGACAGATCACAGAGTGCCACAGTATCTAACAACAGTTCGCTCTTGTAGTCCATCTCATTGCAGCTAGCTGTCATACTGCCATGGCTTGACAGAATCCATGAGACATTGGGTACATTGAAATCGCCAAATAATGCAAATGAATTCTGTTCATTTGATTTTAGGATAATGTTTTGAAGATTTGAATAGAAGTTTGACAGGTCATTTTTATTTAGATAGGGAGGCAGATAGCAAACACATACATTAATTGTCTGACCATTAATTTTAGGAGGCAATATGCTAATCCAGATATCCTCTAGTTCGCTTTCCCAGGAGACCTGTCTGACGGCAGAGTAATGTTTTTTAACTGCTACGAGGACACCGCCTCCATCGTCTTTATTATACTTTTTAATACAAGTGGTATCGCGATCTCTACGGAATATATTGTATTGCTCGTCAAACAGTTCCCCATCGTATACAGAAGCATCGAAATTTGTTTCAGTTAGACATATTAAATCGTAATGAGAGTTCAGAAAGTTTTTATAAAGTATATCTATTTTACTTCTAGCTCTATTGAGATTTTGATAATATATATGCATTTTTAAAAATATGTAAAAAGATACCAAATAAATGCTTTGAGTTTAATATAGATTTCAAAAAGAAAAAAAAAAAGAAATACTTAAATTAGACTACTCATAATATAGGGTTATTAGGCGGCAGCTTTGATAAAGAACTAGTGTCTCTTATGAGTATAGCAGGGGATTCTTCATTTTTACGAACATAGACGCGACCGTATTTTACCCAGACAAATTTGTAGTGGTTAGTTTTAGTCCATTGTCTTGCCGCGGCGTGTACTGCCTTGCATTCAGCTGATAGGTGTTCCGATACGTAAATACTGTATTTTTCGCCAACTAAGCCCATATGAGATGAGTTTAGCGGACACAACTTGTTTGCTTTATTATATCTTCGCACTGCAGAGATAATAGTGTCGCGGTGAAGTTCCGAGTGCAGCGTTGCAATAATATTGCGGGGACGGTCTGACGAAGGGTTCATCTTTGCAACACGGCGGATAGATTTTATGTCTGACTCAGTTATAGGGCAATTTATGGCCTCACATAATTTCTTCAACCCATACAATAAATTTTCCGACCGTTTTTCGGGTACCGACTGAATTTCAATGCTGCATTTTCTTGAGGATTTGTCTAAGACCTGTAGAGTTTTATTCATTTTGGATAATTCGGATTGTAGTTGCATCTTTTCATCTTCAAGCTTGCTGACCTTCTCTGACAACTTCTTAAGTTCAGCTTTTACATCCCTTTGCTCCTCCGCAAGAAAATCTGTCGTTACGGTGAACTCCGATTTTAGTTTGGCTATTTGATCACTAACTTCCGTCCTTATTGTTCTGGTTAAAGATGCTTGAAAACTTTGCAGTTTAGTATCCAACTTCAAATCTAGAAGTCTCGAGAATTGGTCCAATGTGATACTTGCAGCGGGAGTACACCCGGATGTTGTGGGTGTATTTTCAACTGTGTCCATGATTGGTCGACTATTTTCGACAGTGGTTTTACTAATCGTGAGGTTTTCGCAGGACATGTTAGATTCATCCATGTTTTCTAGTTGTTTTCGAACAGGCGTATTGCAGTTGTTTCCCTTTCTCCTAGTTATGTTGTTGCAAAGTGGACATATCCAGGACCTTCTCAGTTCGCCCAGGTTAGCCTTGTAATAAGATTGAGTTATGTTCAAGCATCTATAATGATAGTGTGTCATACACTGTATGCATTGGAGTATATCCTCGCCAGTAATTCGATTACGACACGCTTCACAATTCATAATGATTAAGTTCACAGTTCAAAGATATTTATATTCAATGATAATTTTTGTTTACGAACTATATTAGAGTACTTTTTCAACGATAACTTGGGAGCGCAACTAAACTAAACACATCTTGCTTCTCTGACTACTCAACATAAATTTGAATTCAAATTTAAGCTTAAAACATACACAAAAAGTCAAACTGTGCAGGTTAGACTCGATCTTGCGGCCTCAATTAATCTGCTCGAGTGCGTAGCCTATACGCCACCGTTACATCTTACTTTTGCTGCCAAAATAGTGGTTCTATTACAAAGAAATACGAAATCATAGATTCGTTATGAGCGTTTTGTATTTGTTTGAAAATTTTTCTCCAACCGTCACTTTAAATCACAAGTACAAAGTTTTTAAGTTTTTAAAGTATTTATTGTTTTATATTTTTGTTTTTATTTATGTCACTGTTTATCAATTTATATAAGATGTATTTAGTATTATTTTGGGATGTAATAGCACATATGGGTTTTATTGCTGCTAATAGTTCACTGTAATATTCACAATAATGCAGACTGATTTGCGTAATATATGTCTTGATAACACTCTCACATACGTATTGAATAGTTTTCTCCACTTTTTTGGTAAATCTAATACGATACAGTTGAATAACTATTTTTAAACAATTAAATTACGGGAGCACAATGTTCACATGACAGTATCCGCACTAGCACCGCACTTGAACTGAAGACAGAGGCGAGATTTTGTATATGAGAGTTAAGATCGTGAGAATAGACAACTATGTCGTCGAGGTAAACGAAACAGCGGGAGCCTTGGAGACCAGAGAGGCATGTATTCATGAGTTTTTGGAAGGTAGCTGGAGCGTTTTTAAGGCCAATGGGCATCCTAGTGAACTGGAAGTGACCTTGAGGTACTGAGAAGGCAGTCTTAGGTGCATCTTCAGATGATACAGGGATTTGATGGAATCCTGATGCAAAATCTAGAGAAGTGAAGTATTGGCTTTTTCCCAATTGGTCAAGGATTTCGGTTATTTGAGGAATAGGGTATGTTTCCCCGATGGTGACGTCATTGAGTTTACGGTAGTCAATCATGGCACGCCATTTACGTTCCCCTGACGCGTCTAATTTTTTGCGAACGACCCAAATAGGAGAGGACCATGGTGAATTTGAAGGAGTTATGATGTTTTGATCTAGCATTTTACTTATTTGTTTTTCTACTTCTTTCTTGTGACATTCGGGGAATCGATAGGATTTTGTTTGAATAGGGACGTCTGTGTTAGTTTTAATTTTATGTTCGATTGCAGTGGTGCACGTAAGTTGGTCGTCTGGGAGGTGGAATATATCTGAATAGTTAGAACATATGTCCAATAGAGCGTTTTTCTCTTCGCTATTAAGGTGAGAGGTTCTTAATTGTTTGAGGACTTCGTTTGTCCTTTTTGATACGTTGTAGACTGATGGTTTGGAAAAAGCTATGGTGTTTTCAAGCTGTACTGTACTGTTTAAATTAAGATTTGGGTGAATTATAGCAGGTTTCTCGGAAGTGTTCACTACTGTAATATTGACGCGGTTGTTTTCCTTTACTTTAACTAAACAATTTGCAATTAATAACGAGTTAGAGATGTGTTGATCTAGAATTACTCCTTCGCGAACTTCTGGGTTACTAACTGTACATTCGATTACAGTTTCCGTGCGAGGGGAGATTGTATACACGGGTTCAGAAAAGTTGAGTTTAATTGAATTAGAACCTATTTGTAGCATTCCTTGAGAGTAATTGATTTGTATTTGTAATTTAGCTAGGCATGTTTCTATCCTTAAAGCAAATTGATTTACTGATTCTGTGGCGTTCTGTTTGCAATCCTGTAGGTCTGACAGGAGGTGAGAGTAATGCTTTCTTTCACCAAACTGTTGTTTTAAAAATTCTAAGAACTGTTCAAATGATTCGAAATCTTTTATGCTACTCGTTGTTTCCGCCCTACATTCTAATTGGCTAAGTATGTATTTAAATAGTATCGATTTTTGTGATTTGGAAGCTAAACTGTACGCGTTTTGGCAATTGGATATGAATGGATTTAGTTTTTCTCGTGATCCATCAAAAGGTTTAATGAATTTTAATAACACACCGATTTCTACAAATTTTTCCTCAGCTTCACCGCGCATTGGTAAGTTTTTGGAGGCACAGGGAGTTCCTTCACATTTACTCATTGTGATATTGAAGTAGTTATTACAAATTAAAATTAAATCGTAGACCGCTTATCGGCTATATAACAATGAACAACACAACACAGAACAATGTTAACTAATGCTTATCGTAACATAAATACATTCAACAATGAAATCACAGTTAATGCATAGAACAATGAATACAGTTTAAATTTGAAATATTGTAACATGAGAATGAAATGGTTAGGAGATAAATTATATTTTAAATTAAATTAAAGAATGTCTTTGCTCTGAGTTCAATAATAATTGTTTAAAGAAGATCACTTACAGCAGTAGTGATAGAGTGATGAACAATCTTGCATTTGTGTTCATTGTGTGCTGGAGACACACCCCTGTGTGCCAGTGAGGATGATGACGGTGATGAGTAGGATGCTGGTTGATGCAGAAGGCCTGTGCTTGGAACAGGCTGGATGTTGATTTTCTTGATGCACTTTTACTTTGTTTAAACTTTTAATTTTACTTATTTTTCACTTTGATTTAGTTGCACTTGTTAGAGTTCGATTTATTAATTCTTGAATAATATATTTCTTCGGAAACGTATTCGGGTAGGGGATTTTCGTATCCCACCGCTGCCACCAATATTATACGGGACCGAGGATAGAGCTTTTTAAAAAACGATTTTATTTACACAACACGATATAATTGATTACAATTAACAATAAGATTTATTTAACTTAGGATTTAGAATAACTGGGACTTAGAATGATATAGTAAAGATTTAGTAAGAATATAGAAACGACTTAGTAACGATGTATGAACGAGACTGAGATTGGAACGAGACTGACTTGACTTGACTGACTTGTGATTCGACTGACTTTAGATTGATTCTTGATTCCCGACTGACTTGTGGGCGTTTGTCGGGAGGTCGGTTATATAGGCTTTATTGTGCTGACGCAGCAGCGTGAAAGAGATGCGTTAACTGATCTCCTAACATTGATGGGGTATAACAGTACGATAAATAAATCTTTTGGTTATATTCAAATTTTTCAGTATGTCAAAAATTGGAATTGGCGCGTAACCGCAACGATGCAACGCAATAACTGCAACACGGCCTTCCTTAAGCGTCCACTCCATATTTAAAAATGAGTAAAATTCTAAAAAGTATACAGTTTTATTTTCATGAACAATTCGAAATTCGAATTCAATAAACTTTTTTGTGGCCAAAATTTTAAAAGAAAAGTTTTTACTGTGTGACAATACTTATGACCTGACTAGGTATATATACACAGGATGGTCCAAACAGTGAGGTTATAAATTTTTTTGTGATTCCTCACACCTAAAGGTATCCGAAAATACCCTATAAACCAGCGTGAAGTAGAGGTTTACCTCTGCGTTTCGCTTGGTGAGTGCAGGTGGCCGGAGGCCCTTTTTACTGGAAATGAGGCATTCCGTCTTAGTCCTCACGGGTGACAACGCATCTACATTTTGATTTGTAACAGAGGATAGATGTAGATGTCTATGGGCCGCAGCAACCACTTACCATCAGGTGGACTGTGTGCTTGTTTGTCACCTTTATCCTTTAAAAAAAATATGTATTTGCCATCACGGTCACTAGTTTACACAAATACTAATAACACAAGAAATGTAAACGTAACTACTAGATTAGAAAACGAAAAAAAAAACAAAGCGTCTTTATTGCAGTACCATAATCTAATTACTATCCTAATTACACAATAATAAATAAAACAATAGGTAATGGTTTTTTTTTTGCGGAAACGTTTACAAAATATTAGTCGAATTAATTATGCACAGTACTGTGAAGAAGTGTGTCAAGAACAAGGGTTCGGATAGAACTAGAAAAGCAAAAAATTAATTAGATTTCAGTGCGGCGGGGTGGGAAGGCGCGCGTCGCCTGCGCCGCCCGCTCGCCGATAAAGGGGTGTCTGTTTCCTTCAATAGTATTGCTTATTCGTTTTAATTTCAATGATGCGATGTTATTATCCGTTCCCCTGGCAAATGACCGCTGCGTGGCAGTTCTCTAAGTGCAGGTTGCTCTAAGATGCTATTTCTAAAGTATTAAATAAATCCGTAAATAATAGCGTTTAATGGAAATATAATTTCTACATGAAGCCAAAATATGAAAACGTATATGTGTGTTAAATTAAAGTCACCATTAGTAGCACCACGTTGTAGATCCTTTGTAACCTCACGACGATATTTGACTTAATAACAGAAAAACCGCATTACTTCAAGAAATCATATTAGATGTACAGCAAGAAATCAATGCTTCCGATATACTTTATAAAAATATAAAAAAACATACCACATTTACTGTTTCATGGTTTTTATATTGTTTTCTGTGGTTTTCAATAAAATTATGCTATATTCAAGAGACTATAAGCCGAATAAAATTATCAATATTTAAAATTACTTTGCATAACAATGCAGAGATTATCTACTACGATTATATGCAAATGTTTGCAACAGTTTAATTCAATCATACCTAAGTTTCTCTTCAGTTAAGCTCTTATTAATTTTCAGTGAACTGTACACTTTAATAATAATCTTCACAAATTACAGAAATAGAAAATAAAAAAACTTCGTTTGATGAGTGATCTTATATAAAATAAAAGTATTATTACGTTAACCATATCCATAAAGTTTTCTATGACATAAATCCATATAACATACAACGGCTCGGTAGAGCAGTAGATAAGTTCTTAGTTGCAGTGCTACAGGGCTCTCTAAAGAGCTAGCTGTGAAAAGTCAGCAGAAATCTTCAAATTGTTCCCATGTATTAATTGCTAATTAGTTGCCAAAATCGCGATTTGGTTTTTCCAACCGGTTCTGAGAAAATTGATCGAGGTATCTTTACATTAAGATCGCAGTAAATACTTTCAATCAAACCCCTCCGTAACGGATAAAACGGGAAAAATTATTGCTAATTTGTTGCTGAAATATAGTGCAAAAAGAATTAAAAAAAATAGATTACCTAAACGAGCCACAGTGGGCAGTGGGGAATATGGGAGTAATACATCTTCTTCTTCTTCGTCAGTCCCTAAAAGTTATCTACTAAACATAGGCCTCTCCCGTTGAAGGGAGAATTCATCTTAATCGTCACCCTACCGCAAGTGGTTTGACAATCGCAGTGCCAGATGTCTCGCATCTGTGACGCTGCGGCCCGTCACCAGTTTCAATATATATCACATTAAGATAACCAACACTTTTTTGGTTTTCTTTTGTAAATCTAAGATTACGAATCCAGAAACTTACATTTTACAGTCTATCTAATGATTTGTCGCTACTGTTGTCCATGGACACCTGCAGTTAACTTCAAACAAAGATGTTTACAGACGTATTGTCACCTCCAACGACTAAGATGCAATGCCTAACAGCCTGTTACTATACTGGCTTTCGTAAGAGGGTGTGTGTTAATCAAATATTTCTTGTTTTTTATCAGCCAAGCTAAGAAAGCAAATTGCCGGTCGAAATACCTTTTGAGTTACCAATTGAGTTGTGGAACCGATGTTCCGCAAATAACGCTTCGCAAGCGAAAACAGCCAATTGACAGCGATTTTGGATGTTCCTAACTTAAAGAATTGCGTACAAAACTAAATCGAGTTAGTACCTTGTTAGAAAAATATGTCGAATCAAATGAACAAATTTTGAGCATGATGCAGGAAAATATTACAGAGTTCCGGGCTCAGATTAGTGAAATCAAAAAATCAAACGAAGAAGCCAGAAAATAACTGCGCGATGACGTCATTGAAGTCAAAACGGAGTTGAATACCTTAAGAAAATCGTCGACTATTATGTTCACGGAGCACAAAGACATAAAAAATAAAATTACAGAACTAGAAGCTCAGGTAGATAATAAAATAAAATCATTTGAAGAGAATGTTAACAAGCTAAACCCTCAAAGCTCTGCTAACACAGATACCCAACTTTACAGCAATGAACAAGTAATTCGTGAGGTACAAGACCGCAGAAATAGAGAAAAAGTATTCTACTGGTTGGGCTGCCTGAACATATCTCTGCCAGCGCTGATGAAATAGAAGTCTTAAAAATTACATCCTTAATCGATCCAAACATACAGAAACCTGTTAGAATGTTTAGAATTGGTAAATATAACCCTCAAAAGTCTCGCAGCATAAAAGTATGTTTTGATAGTCCAACACCTTCTAAAATTTTATTGCGTAATAGAGATATAATACCAGAAAAACTTAAGATATTCTCAGACCAAACACCTGCACAACAGAAATATCTGAAGAAATTAAAAGAAAAAGCAATGGTGAAGACGATCTAATTATAAAATATATCAATGGTACACCTACAATAATTTAAATGCAAAAAAACTAATAACAGTAAAAACAAACCCCGTTATTGTCAGCGAGTCCAATACCTATCAAGTTCTTGATGACTATCAAAACATACAAACCCATAAATCCCATCTAAAATTCCTCTACCTTAATGCCCGGAGTATACGAAAGAAAGAAAAATTCGATGAACTCAAGTGCATATTACGATCTATGTCTGATAATATACACGTAATTTTATTGACTGAGACTTGGATCAGTACAGAAAATCAGGCCTTAGAA